GTGTTTAAGATCCTTTTTTTATTGGTCACATGAAATATTCTAATTTTGTGAAATACTGGATTTGGGTTTTTTTTTTTGTCTTTAATCCATAATCATCAAAATTGAAACAAATAAAGGCTTGAAATATTTCACTTTGTGTGCAGTGAACTAATATAACATACAAGTTTCACTTTTTGAAACAAATTATTGAAATAAATGGACTTTCCTTCGATATTCTAATTGTTTGGCACATACCTGTATTATACATTTTCAATGGAATTGAAAACATATTTACATGAACTCCTATTGTACTGGACACACTTTCTAAGTATATTGTGGGCAGGCACCCTGGGGTCTTTCTTTATTTCTTCTGCATCAGTCACTAGAGCTCCTTTATGAGTTTTCTGCCTTATTTTGATACATGTTGGGTTCTTTGTTTGTTTGGGGTTTTTTGTGTTTTGTTTTTGGCTCTTTTATACTTGATTGTATAGAGTAAATTGGTGTCAGTTTGTCTACATATACTGTACTGTTTGTGTTTTGTAGTATACAGCAAAGGCCAAAATGCCACAGTCATACAATATGTCTAAACAAGTTTCGTAGACACTGTCATCACTAGACACCATTATACTGCAATATGCTGCCAAATTGATGAAGAAAAAAATGCCTGTATTTTTCCAAGAATATAATTATACCAAAGCAGTGGTCAAACTGATTTTTCAACAAAGGGTGGTTTCAAAGCGGAAACTCAAACTCAGTCTCCAGCTGCAACAACTGTCTCCAACTCTTTTTTTTTTAATTTTCATTTTTTAGGTGATGGCTGTATTTTGTTTACATGTTGAATCTGGTACATTTGTATACAAATTGAAGATGAAAATTTTCTTTTTTTCAGTGGTTGCATTATCTACAGCTGAGCTTTAATCCCCAATATGCAGTGGATCTCTTCAAACTGTATTTTCAATGGTAATCACAAGAGAATGAGTGAACTGTGTTCCTTTGAATATGTGTTAATAACACATGGTTCAACAAAACCTGAACTTAACCCTGAACTGTGAGTTGACCAACCCTGAGATGGAAAACTGAATTGTCATTTCCAGAACAGCTTAGAGTTAGTTTATCCCTGAGGTCATTTACTCAGAGTTGAGCTCATGCATAATAACTAGCATCACTGGAGCTCTGTTACTATGATTCATCATGGAAACAGGTAAATAAAGAGCAGAGCCATCATTTTAATCCAGTGCAGCACAAATAATGGCTGACATTAATGTGCATTTATTTAAAAAAATAAATAGTCTGAATTGGAGAAAAGATCAATAAGTTATCATCACTATACAAGTAGTGGATAAAACAAGTAGTTCTTAGACATCTATTACACATTTAAAAATCCTGTTCAACAGAATTTACTACATATAAAGAAATGAATTAATCTGAGTAACTGAAATGCTGTTAAAAATCATTTATGACCGATCTCCAAAATGATCAGTAGGCTTAACTAACAAAAATGTTCCATCAGTGTATTCACCAACACAAGAAGTGATTAGTTATGGATCATTGTCTTGTGTGTGTAAAACTTCAAATGCTTTTTCAAATTTAAGTCTAAGTTGATTCCAGTAATGTACAGTAGATGTGTTAGTGAGGGGGAACTGACTGACAGTTGTCTTCTTGTCCACAGTGTTATAAAGCTGGCTAAATGACCTGCAGAGATTTTATTCTGAGCCAATCCACACTGTCTACAGGTTACTGGTACAGTATGTGAGGAGAGATACAGTATCTGCTTTACACTGAGCGATCATAAAAGCTATCACTTTAAAGATTTTAATGACTTTAAAACAAACTATTAGGCTACAATCTAATCAGAATTTTTACCCTCTTCATCCCAATGTATATTTCCTTATGCTCCAATCTGCATGTCGATATGAACTACATGAATGAGGAAATGAAACACCATATCAGGTTCTGCAGGAGACACACACATACACAGACTGACCTAAGGCCTGTACCATGAAGTTTAACTTATTCTGACTCTCTTGGGGTTTATCTGGCTTCTCTGAGCATAACATTGGCCATCCTGGATAACCAGTAAAGAC